ACCAGTTTCAAATGAGCCTTTCACCTCTCATTTGGCTTGCCGACTCTTTGGCAAATATCACAAGATCTTACAAAGTTTTCAGCATCTTTAAAACAATTTGGCCAGTAGTAGTCCTGGAGAAGCCTTTTTTTGTCTTAGTGATACCTAAATGTCCTGTCCAAGTGTTGCCATGACATAGAGCCAATAAGTCTGCACGGAACTTATGAGGCAGTACGACTTGTTCCAATGTGACCCCGCCACGATCACTGTACCGTCGATACAAAATCCCATTCTTTTTTTAAGAAGGCTATCTTCTTTCGAGCGATTTCCAGGGAAACAGCGTCCCGGCAATGGCTCAGCGAGTCGTCTGTTTCCTGCTCTCGAATTAGCTCTGCGCGGTTTATGGTCAATAGAACTTCCAGACTATCAGCCTTGGACGTTAAGACTCCCTCTTTTCGATTAGCTTCTAATAAAACTTGTCCGTCTCTTTGCGGGGAGACTCGATCACCTTCTATTTCGCTCACTTCGTCGCCATTAGTCTCTACCGGCTCAGTTCTATTGATTTATTTATTCGAGCCATTACTACAAACGCTAGGCATTGCCGTTGTGTCTTCCCTGTCTGTTTTACCGTAAGTTAAGTGACGCGAAAGCTTACGAGCTTGCGCTCTTGTCAGAGCTTGAACGACACCTTCACCAAATACTATAACTTGATCCGCTAGAAGTTTCGCTGATTTGTTGGAGAACAGGTACGGATATTGTTCTGGCAGATTTCGTGAGACAGCTGCCTCTGTGGTCAGCTCGCCAAACGCCCCTTGAATTTTAACCTTGGCCATAGGCAGACATACATTTTGCTCTTCGACGACTTGCTTTATCCAAGCGCACTCACCGGTGTAATCTCCCTGGTTCACGAATGACGGGTGCACTACGTCCATGGTAGCAGCACTGTCCCTCAGTACCTTACATTCCCTGCCATTCACCTTTAGATCGTACAAGTAAGGTCTGAGCAACTCCAGGTTTTCGTCTGTGTCAACGACGTATGAGAATGCAACCTTCTCTTTTCTGCACATTGATGCAATGTGACCTGGTTTTTGGCAATTGAAACAAATTATTTCCTTGCGTTTTTCGAAGGCTCTCTTTTCTTTATCTTTTACGTTATCTCCGTCACCACGTACATCCTTCTCTTTTCTTGAGGTTGAACTTTGGTCGCCTTGTCGATCTTTTTCAAAGGCGGATTTACGATATCCATAATTTGGAACTTCGTTGTCTTTTCGACCAGTTGCAAATCTGTGCTCGCGACTGAGTTCTCAGCGCGTCGCGCGTCACAAACTCTTCCGCTAACTCTGCCGCTTTCCTAACCGAGGTCAGTTTCTCGCGGTCCAATAACCAGTTCCGAACGAATGGTGGAATACTTCGCAGAAACTGCTCTAGACAGAACTGCTCAATCACCTTATCGTGATCCCCGAACACCCCTTCGCTTTTTAGCCATTCTTCTAAATTCGCTCTTAAAGAGTACTCAAACTCCGTGAAAGCCTCTCCGGGCTTCTTTGTGGCATTTCTAAATTTTAAACGAAACGCCTCGGCAGACAACCGGTACTTGCGGAGCAAACAAATCTTAACCACATCATAATTAGCAGCTTCACTGGTACTGAGGCGAGCCATTACTTCCGCCGCCTCCCCTGGAAGTAATGTCAATAGTCTCTGCGGCCACGTGTTGCGATGAAACGACATTCTCTCGCACGTTCTCTCAAAATTAACTAAATATAGCCCAATGTCATCTTCTACCTTAAATGGTTGCATATATTTGCTCATCTTAAAGGATTCCCTTCCTTCACCATAGCCAGTAACGTTAAAGCCAGCCGCTCCGCGCTCTAGTTCTAGCCTTCTGAGAGCCAGTTCCTCTCGTTTAAGATCAGCCTGCCTTTCCTGCTCGGCGGCCTCACGAGCCGCCTGCCGTTCGTTTTGTCTTCGTTGTTCTTGCTTGGCAGCCTCTCGAGCCGCTTCCTTCTCTTTTTTCTCCACAATGCTATTCCAGACATCCTGGATTTCATGGTTAGGGGTCGTTTTCGCTATCTCCGTGATTAGATCAGCTTTTCTGACTGCTTTGGGAATATCAATTTCTAGTGCTCTGCTCAACTCCAATAGCTCTTCCTTTCTTAGTTTCAGCAGATCCATGACAGTGTGAGGATAATTTACCGGACTCAAAGTTACTACACGATTTCTAACTACACGGAATTCGTGCTTGAAAAAATTTGACTTTTCTGGTTAATCCGTTTACCATATAACACGACCACTTTCTTTTCCCAGAAACCTTTTACAATATTGAGCGCAAACTTTGCTCAAAGGAATCGTATAGGAAAAGAAATAAGTTCCGCAATAATCAGGCTGCTGAATCAAGGTACCCTCCTTTACAACAATCCTGAGCTTCTCTTACAAAGGACTCGCAAAAGTCCAGGGCGCCACAATAACCTAGATAAGCCCGTCGGACATAGCGCTGTGAATGCTCATGAAACCTGAGTGGTAGTAGGATTTTAAAACTAACATTAATTCGCACACAAAGAGACGTTGACGCCCAAAATAATCAATCCTCCGCTCACCCCGCTGACCGATCTACCGCCTCCGCCCCAGCCCACCTTGATCTCCACGGCGATCTAGAGTCCAGCCTGGGCCAAGCACCTCCACTGCCTGTGACGCTTGTGTCCGTGGAACTGACTCTTCGGCTGAACACGCCAGGACCAGTCGCGTGGCAAGCCGCGCTAGCAGCCTCTGGGTTGCTGCTCAGCCTCGATATCCCCAGCAGGAGCTCGAAGTCCTATATCTGGCCGGAAAAGTGCCGCCGAGAAGATCCCACCGCAGCCACCAGTTGTTAGGTTCCGGAGGGAGGGACGAGAACGCAGGAACGTCAAGCCAGGGTAGGGTTTTAGATGATATAATTAAAAAGATGAGAAGATGAATGGTAGCTCTGGGCTCAACCAGACCGAGTGTTCCTCTGGTCGCGCGCCGCGCCTGGTCCCGCGCTCCCCTTTTTATATACGGTCCGTTGATGTACGTCACGGCTTGCGCCGCCTTCGCTCCGGTTGATTGGTAGAGAGGGAGGTGGTAGCGACAGCAATTTGGGTGCAGCCAGTTGTTCAGGATGGCGCGAGTCTCTCGATGGTAGTTTATGAAGAAGCAGTCTCGCGCCGTGGCATGCTTGCGGATGGTAAGTGCCCGGGTCCTGTGGTCTGCACTGCAGGTCAGTGATTCCACTACTTAACAGTGCTCAGTTTACAGGTTCCACAGAGCCAAGTCAGTGGATTTACCGCTTTTTCGGCTTTTTATGTGACTCCCGAGCACTTCCCATTTTGATGCAGGCTGTTGCATTTTGTGCATTTTAACACTTGACTATCATCCGTCACTTCTTTCGTACATGCTGAGCAACCATTTTCTTCGATGTGAGAAGTGGCTCAGTACGGGAGAGCGCAGTCCAGCGAAGTGTGCGGTGCGAGAAAAGGAAAAAGAAAAGCACCCACCTGAGGAGCAGAAAGAAAATGTTACGTTCCGCTCAGTCACACCGCCGGACTGCGCTGGTTCCCAGTGCCCAGTTCACTGATTGCTTTTATGGGCTATATCCCGCGATGTCTGGTAGGCGTTGCGGGTTATCAGCCTCTTGTCTACATGGTCGTGCGGTGTGTCGTATGGCTGTAGTGATGTTGCAGCCATAGTCAATCTCCTGGCCCGCTTTCTTTGTTTTCCTGAGCAGCAGAAAGATAAACACGGCTCCTATACTTATCATAGACCCTCTCCGATATTGCTGTGAGTTTACAGATCCACAAGGCACATGCTCCCGACAATTAAATTCTTTATCAAGTCGTGTCACAGCAGCGATTGGACAGAAACCACAACCCAAATATCTGCTAAGGTTTTGAGGGTAACCGGTCCCATGTTCAAGTGATTATGCTGTGCTCCGTTCTATTTGATGAACTCTTTTCAACAAACTTCGCCCATAGGTGGGCTTCGCGCGTTACTTTTGACAACATCAACCAGTTCTGAGAAGGAAAGATTAAAAGAAATAGTTCAAGATTACACCGCGATAATCATACTTCTGCATCTGTAGAATTCTTTGTGAGTTCGGCTGCGCTTCATTTGGGAAATATGTTTTTGTGAAATGCTCAACATTTTAACTTACTATTGCTTTGTGACTACAATAATCAGCGCTCACTTTCATTGTGTCACTAAGAGAAACTTGTAGTTATTCACTGAAAGCACGCTCTAAGGGAAGAGTTAGCATCAAGGATTAGTCGTAGCTTTTTTTCGCTCGCACTTGTCCTAAAACGAAGTATCATAATTTCTTGTTATGTCCAAAAGTGCGCATTGCTATCGATCTAGATGGTAACATTCTTGTACGTTTAGTTAGATTCTACACTGTTCTGCACGACTAATATACGAATAAAACTACGAGCTCTTTTTCTTGAACTATGTAGAACAGCTCCCAATTAGAAATACCAGAAACATGCTTACCTGAAAAAAAATCTTACTTCCTCTTGTTTATGTTTTATTGCTATCAGAGGAAATATTTGGAGACCCAACATTTATGCAGCTCAGTGTGCATCAATATCATGAAGGTTGAGTTGCAGTGCTCGGTCTACGAATATCAAGGCTGGTCAATATATTGAAAGTTTACGTGGATAACGACGGATATGTACTGCTCTACAATTGAAAAATTGAGAGATATAACCTTGTTCGAACTTTGTGGTAAACAAGAAAATTTCTCAAATAGATGCTTTCAATTTACAAGCAACACCTTGATGTCGGCTGTTTTGTTCGTTTTGGGTATTTTAGTCTCATACAGCTGCACGTTGGAGTCATTACGGGCATGCGCTATTACCTGGAAACCTGCCAAACGCTGTAACATTAGCAGTATTTTACTGCTAGTAAATCACGCTGAGAAACGTGTTATGTTTCATAAACACATATTTTCGAATCTTTCTGTTTAGTATAAGAAATCAAATTGAGTCTAATAATTTCGTATGCTTTATTTTCAGGGAGACAGCGGAGGACCTTTGATGTACGAAGATAACGGTCGGTGGACTCTTATTGGTGTGACTTCTGATGTGCCAAATAACTGCTTTAACCCGGAGAGACCTTCGCTCTTTGTGAAGGTCTCGCACTTCGTGGACTCGCTTATTTCGAAATTTATGCAACTTGGAAGTCACAGTGACAAAAATGCCACGTGTGCTACGGAGGATGCCCGTAAAAATTGTGTAACGAGGTTCTTTCAGTTCTACAACGTGTCTTTAGAACCATAAGCCGTCCTGAAGGCGTCTACCTTCTATACGTTTTACAACACGTGTGTAGAACCATAGGAGATCCTGAAGGCATCTACCTTCTCTAAGTTCTAGGACATGTGTTTAGAACCACAAGAAATCCTGAGTTAATAAAACTCTAAGAAAAAATGTTTACGGCTGTGTACAGTTTTATTTGCCTGCATTTATGATCTCACTTGCTTCGTGCAAATGTGCGGGATTGCTCTCTATGAAAACTGGTACTGAAAATACTGCGAGTGAGCAGGAAAGCTGGTGGAAGTGGCCTCTATTGTCACCATTTCTGCAACTGTAAACTGGCTGTCAACTGGATTCCCTTCGTCTGGCGCAGTCATCGGTTAAATTCATGCTGGAAACTGTCATTCCTCCTGCTATACTCGTGCTCAAAATGAAAGAAATAACCTTTTTTTTTTGTTTTTAGCAAGATTCTTTTATTCGTAGTTTCGAGATGACATCTCTGGTCACTAAAGTTATATTTCCTTTCCCAGCAGGGTTATTCCGAAAGCACCTTGGAAATACAATTCGCCAATTGATTAAAGTAAAATGTTGAGCAACACTTACATTCAAAATCATAATTCGCGGGCTGCAGCACTTCACGGAGCGATCGATGAAATTTGTTTATTGGCAGTAAACGTCACGTAACATTATGTTGTCAGGTCGGTCTTTCACGTGATACCATAATGTCAAATGTCTTCGCGTCAAGCGACGTGGTCACGAGACGCGGTAACGTCACGTGATCTTACGTCGCTTGACGTGGACGTATGACCTGACATCACTCAACGCCGTCACGTTTCGCGAAGTCTTGGTTTTACGCAATACCCTAACATTATGTGACCTGATAGAAGTAACAAAGAACGTGCAGGTCAGCTGGTGAACTTCATCTTCAAATCCTCGCGCAGAGGAACAAAAAGAGGATGACGAACAAAGTGGACTCAATCACAGCTGTGATGCTTATTCCCGCTTCCTTGTCCTCATGTGCGTACACCAACCGACCCTCTGTCGCAGGAATTCAGATACCACCCGACGCAAGCCTTTCCTGTTCAGAACCTTGAACGGCATTGAACTTGGCGACCGAAAAGCTTAATCTGACCCCAACTCCACGGTCATTCCTTCGATCCCGGCGCAAACAGATAAGTCAAGCGACATCGGGCACTGCTTCGCCCGTTACTGGTTAGTGACCAGATACTAACGTGAAAATTTGACCTTGACCTCTCGCGCAACATTAAAGGAACCAATTTTTCTGACATGTTTTGCCATCATGTATGCACGAACAATCAATCAGAGGACGGATAAGCAATTTTCTGTGGGTATGAGATCTCGTTACAAAGCTTTTCCGTGCCTTTAATCTTATACTTAGTGCTCTCAAACTGCGATTTGTGTAGTTCGAAACAGCCGCTAAACTGGAGTTTTAATATGCCTTCGGAGCTAGGGATCGCTGGCAGATCAAGAGAAAAGGCTGAATTTGAGTTTCTTGAACTCCGGTGTGCAGCATACAATCTACGCGAGGCGCCGATAGGCTACCTTTTGTTCGCTCAGGCAATGAGCGTCTTCTGGCCTCCCAAAGGAAACTACCCAGGTACCACAAGAGGTGGGGCGCACGTGGGGCCCACGTGGGCAATAGGGGCTCGGGCAGCCACTACGAAACCCACGTTGGTCCCACGTCGGCGCAGCGTGGGCATACCCAGCTTGGGCTGCACACAGGCCCTTGCGTTGCCTAGGAGCCAATGCGAGAAGTGATTTATGAGAACTTGTTTTAGGTAGTACAAGCTTTAGTGTTTCAAACTGTCACAAATGTAGAAGCGTGCCTGCTCAGCTGTGGGACGGGATAAAGAAGAAACCTCAAAGGAACCAAAACTTCCTAACACCATCGAAGCAGAGGTCTAAGCTAGGGCAAAAAGAGCGTCAACCTAGAAACGACCGTATCGCACTTCGAAAAAAAAGGGGAAAAAAAGTCAGGACGACAGGTGTATTTACGTCACTAACGAGAGATAAGAGACGCGAACTTTGCAGGTACTGGCAAGTGTCTGAAACTTTCGATTGCCTTGCGGCATTGAACCTAGCCGATGTCGGACGTCGAAACGTGTTTTTTCTTTGTTCAGCGCTACACAGAAATAAAAACAAAACTCAGCGAAGATGCCAGAAGTAGCGCAAGGCCTTATCAGGTGTCCTGTGCAACCCAAGATGAGGGCGTCACAGTTTGCTCCATACAAAAGCACACGAGGCCTAAGCAATACCCTCCAGGGTCTCATCTCGGCTGCGCGAGAGTATGCTCAGTTGCGGCTGCCCTACAATACCGCTGTTAATCCCACTTTGGCTATGCGGGGGCAGAGTTATCGCAGATAAAGGCTTGAGGGGGGCAAAGTGTGGACATCGGCAAATAGGGCTGCCGATGTAAAACCCCCGTGGGATCCACCTCTGCTCTAAGGGGGCCAAAATGTGATGATGTGGGATCCACGGCGGCTAAGCGTGAGCATGCCCGAGTGAGAATGCCGATATTTGGAGCCGGCAGGCTTGCAGGCATGCACCTAACGACACTGTTGGTTATGCAGGTTCTTAACCTTATCGGATCGGCGTTCTTGCTCGGCGTGGCTGGCGAGCGGGCAGTGTTCCCGCTATCGCCAGAACCATTTTCGACAACCGCAGTCGGATGACACGTGCCGACAAACAACAAGAGCGGACTGCCAGTCGTCACCGACTTTAACCATCGTTTTGATAAAGCCCTCGCCGACAACGGTCCACCAGTCTGCTTCAAGCATCGGCGGCCACGTGACATCAACCGAGCCTACTTAAGCGCGCAGCACTTCGGCTTCGCGGGATTTGGAGTCGGCACGCTTGCAGACATGCACCTAACGACACTGTCGGTTATGCAGGTTCTTCACCTTATCGGATCGGCGTTCTTGCTCGGCGTGGCTGGCAAGCGGGCAGTGTTCCCGCTATCGCCAGAACCATTTTCGACAACCGCAGTCGGATGACACGTACCGACATACAACAAAAGCGGACTGCCAGTCATCACCAACTTCAACCATCGTTTTGATAAAGCCCTCGCCGACAACGGTCCACCAGTCTGCTTCAAGCATCGACGGCCACGTGACACCAACCGAGCCTACTTAAGCGCGCAGCACTTCGGTTTCGTGGGATTTGGAGCCGGCACGCTTGTAGACATGCACCTAACGACACTCTTGGTTATGCAGGTGTAGTGATCTGTGATAAGTGATTTTGCCACCAGATGGCGCAACGTGTGTTCTGTTTAGTATGCTTTGATGGTGAGTTAATCGGGTTGTCTTATCTTGTTGTTATGTGTGTTTATGCATCTATGATGTCACTTGACATATGTTAATAAAAGAGCCGCCGTCCGTCAGCGACGTCAGAGAACTACGGGACACCCAGCAGGCAACATGTCTTTGTCTCATTCTTCGTAAGCCCCGAACGCGCGGGGCCGCGGCTTCCTACCCGGCCACATCATGTGAGTGCTGTTAGCGTCCTCTCCTTTCGTACCACCGTGTAGAGGAGATTACTACAAATTTTGGCGACGAGGTCGTTAACCGTAGTTCTCTCCGCGTCTCGGTGCACTGGCCGTGAGAGCCGACGCGATTTTTTTTTTCTTCTTCGATCCATTTCGTTTCACTTGGAACACGTTTCATGGCTAGTCAGAATGGGCCCTGACAGCTGCTTCCCTTCAGCATGCGTCTCGTGACAACGTAAGATGTGAGTTTGCACTGTTTTTGCATCGTTTCCTACAACCTTCTACAACATATATATAATGGATAATGGAACACAGCCTCCTGTAGCTGCCGGCACGTCAGTGCTCGCGCCGGTTCCATCACCGCCCGACTTCTTGCCAGTTCCGGGCAAGCCCGAGCGTGCATGGCCCGCGTGGAAACATGCTTTCTTGATGTTCCTTGAGGCGTCCGGCTTGGACAGTGTTGCGCCTAGTCGAAAAAAGGCGATCTTGTTTTCCATGCTTGGGGCTGAGGGCCAGAGAATTGTTGACGCTTTTCAGCTCGATGAGACTCCCGCTTCCGAGGAAGACGATGTTTTTGAAGTCTTTTTGAGTGCTATCGCGAAGCACTTTGAGTTTTCTGGGTGTATCGCGCTGGAACGCCAAAAGCTTCGCGCTCGCGTCCAACGCCCGGGAGAAACCGTCTCGGAGTACTTGACCGCTCTGCGACGCCAAGGGTCTTTTTGTTCTTATGGAGACGCTTTGGAAGAGAGGCTGGCTGAGGTCTTTTTGGAGGGGTTGGACTCTAAGCGGGTCCAAGACCGCATCCTTCGAGAGTGTGTGGGGACGGGGGTGCCCACTTTAACCCGTGTCGTTCAGCTCGCGCTGCAGTACGAGCAACTTGCACGCACCACAGAAAGCTTCCACCTGCGAGCTCCCAGTGCTAGCGGTGCGGCGCCGGCAGCCGTTGAGCGCGTCTTTGCGCACGTGCCCATTGGAACGCCGGACGTCCAAGATGGAGGTCCATAGCCGGCTCCTTCCCGAAGTCGGTGGCAAGATGGCCGGTCCGGCGTCACTTCCAGTCACGTGCCCCGGACTTTACAACACCACCCACCCCAGCGTCTGCGCTACCCTCCTCCTTCAAGGCACGGAGATGAAGGAGTCGGTGTTCCCTGCAACTTCTGTGGTCGACGCGGCCACAACCGCAACGAGTGTCCAGCGTCTGGTGTGGCATGTTTTTTTGTGTGGAAAGACGGGCCACTTTGCGGTGGTTGGTCGGAGTCGCCGCCCACCGTCGGCGGCCTTCGTCAGTGACCCGCGGCGAACGTCGTTCCCGAGCCGTGGCCAGGGCTCCGGCCGTTACTTCGCTGCCCGACCGTTTTCACGGAATGTGCCGTCAGGAGGTAACGATCCTGTGAACATTGTTGGGCCATCCCTGGTGCCGGAGATGCTGCCGAGCGTCCCCGTTGAGTCGGCCGAGCAAGCAGCAATAGGTGTTTATCGTCGGGATGCCTTCATGGCCGACATCAAGGTAAATACAACCCCTCTTCGTCTCCTTGTCAACACTGGCTCTTTTGTGTCCATTCTGAATGAACGAGAGTTTAATGAAGTACAACGGAGTTCCGACATTCCACTATGTCCGCCCTCGAAAACTCTTGTTCACTACATGCAAGACACTATCCCTGTGCTTGGATGCT